TGTTAGTCATAATACAGGTCAACAAGAGGTATTCTATATTTAAACATTTGATTGAACAGAATACATCGACTCCAAGATGTGCCTTGATAGGCAGCAGTCTAGAAAGACTTTTGGCAGCGGAAAAGAATTCAGCTGCTGCAGTTCAGACATGATTGGGCATAAGATGCTGTGCGTTGACTTCTGTAACTGCATTTACCTTCTGATAGGCTTAGAAATCATAACCCAGAAAAAGAGGAATAGTCAGATATCAATAGTCCTAAAAAAGTCTGCATGAGATTCTTAGGAACAGCGACTTGGTAGACTATACATGTAAAGCAATACAGTGGAATTTATAGGGAACATGCAGGAGGTTGGGATATCCAGCCCTGATTCTTCCATTTGCTGGAAATGCTTCCCGTCTGCCCACCCATCCATAAGAAATTATGAATTGAATGCACTGTGTGGGTTTTTCGGAACTGTTCTCGAAACAGTATTTCTAAAATGCGTCTGTCTACACCATCTCTGACACTGTTTTTTAGACTCATTAGTTTCAGATATACAGTAATTCCTCATTTAACACGTGCTCGCTTAACACGTTTTCGTGATAGCACAATTTTTTTTTAGGGGATATTTTTCAAACAAATGACCCCATCCCCACAATAACACAATTTCCCCTATGGCTGGCTGGTTGTCAGGAGCTGCGCGAGGCTTCCCCTGCCTCCCTGCAAAGCAGCAGAGGTTTGCCGCTCGCTGCACAGTTCCCCGGTGACCCGCTCTGGCCAGAAACCCAACCGACAGCTGCAAGCCCCCTCCCCTGTCCTTCCCTTCCCTTCTTCAGAGCCAAACATCTCCCCTCCCTGCAATAACCCAGTCCCTTTTCTCCCCCAACCTTATGTCCCGGTTCCATTTGCTAACAACTTCAGGCTGGAGCTGCAAGTGCACGTGCGCTTGAAACGCAACCCCCACCTTTTCCATTATTTTCAATGGGAAAATTGACCCCGCATAACACGTTTTCACTTAGCACGATTTTCTGAAATGTATCTACCGTGTTAAATGAGGAATTACTGTAATCAGGAATGGAAACGTAATCCTTATCTGGAAATTTGCTTCTGTGAATTTCTTCAGTTTAGGTGGCTTCCCTTGCGTAACCTTACAATGGTTAGGGCCTTCGGAATAACAGCCATTATTCGGAAATAACTATGCGAGCGTCTACACAACAATTCTGTTGTTTTGAAATAATTTTGAAATAACAGAAAGCTTATTCCAACTTCTGTAAATTTCATTCTACGAAGAATAACGCCTATTCCAAAATAGCTTGTTAGAAACAAGGTGTGTGTAGACGTTCCACTTCTATTTCAAAATATCCCCTCACAGGGCCATTCTAAGTTATTCCTTCTGGGGCTCTAAATTAAGAGAGCATGTCTACATTAGAGAAGCCTGCCTTGGACTAATTTTGAAGCTTCCCTGCAGTGTAGATGTGGAATAATTATTCCAAAATAGTTTATTTCAAAATAGCACATTTTGGAATAATTATTCTGGAATAGTTTATTCTGAAATAACTGTGCGGTGTAGGGGTAGCCTAATTTACATTATAAATTATATCAAACACAGGGAATCAGTTTAAACTATTAGAAAGAGAGCCAGATCTTGACTGGCAATTAATGCTGCTTTGCACAGTGAAGCACTGTCCTGAAGTCAGCACAGCTGTATACTGGAGGTTCTCCTCTGTGTGTGGGAATCCTTGGGTAGCATAATCCTAGAGGTTCCTATACCATCTCCATCCTCTTGGCTGCCAGTACAAGGTGTGGGTGGGTGGGGTAATTATTGGTTGCCAGAATGGTCTCAAGCAGCCATTAGCAAGTGACATAAAATAATGCAGTCCACAGGCTGTCCTAATTTACCCCTGGACCATTTAGACCCAAAGCACTCCCAAAATGTAGTAGGTACAACAGAACTATTTGTGCCTCTATTTCAGCTGTGCCAACTGCTGCTCAGCCCATGCTGATGCTCTGCCCCAATGAAAGTAGCACCTACCATACAGAAGTAAAACACAGATGCATTTATCTCTTGTTGCTCAATGGCTACCAAGATGTTACGCTAAATCTCAACTATTATTTTAGTAGCTTAGTGCTATAAGGTTGCTTGGAAACCAACCCACTTAGCCCTCACATTCCGCCTGATAGCTGTTTTATGCACTAACATCCTCACATGACACACTTGTATCTAAACATGCATCCTACCTCATTTGAGAGTCTTGCTGTAACAGGTTTTAGGCTTGAGAAAATTACTAAATAACCTGTCGTGTGGTAAGTCACTATCCTAGTCAAAATGTGTTTCATCACTGAATGCAAGCACTTCCACACAGCCTAGTAATCTAATTTTACTTTATCTTTTATTGAAGATACTTTCTAATTTAGTCTTTCAGATGTGCAAATGTGTGAATAACTGGATGGTTTTGTGATTGTAACCCTGGTCCTAATCTTTCTCCCTTGCTTTCATATATTTCCTTCACTTGCGTAACGCTTAAACTTATTAGTGCATCTGAGTACAATTTGGCTTCTTCTGTCCATTTCTGTTAAATGCCTATCACACTTTTAGAGACCCAAAATCATGAATAAGCTGCAATAGAAATCTGTCTTGTGGGGTTTTTTTTTTTACTTGATCGGTTTTCCTGAATCAATGACCATATTAATAATTTCCATTGCCCGATGAAGGCAGCCATTATCAACAAGCTGCTTTAAAACTGCACCAGATGTTTCTGGTACTTAGGGCTAGGAAATATTCAAATCTGATCCCCCTGCGCCCCTCTCCTCCTTTCCCTTGTTGACAATAATCTTGCTTCATTGCCAACCTTGTGCTGCTCTGGGCAAGAATGGGAGACAACCCCAAGCAGTGGGAGGAAAACTTTCAATTGCTGAATTGTCTAAAGTGCCATATCAGTCTTCTCATCAAAACATACTGCTAACCAACAAGTAAGTTTAATCCTCCATCTGCAAAGTCCACTGTACACACAATGACCCAATACTATGACATTAGCAGTTAGTATAAATCTCATACTTTTTCCTGTTAATCTTGTTTTGTAATCATGAGCTACACTTTTAAGGATCAATGAAAATAATTTGGTTTTATGTAAATGCAGTGTGGAATAAGATGTTCTCCAAAGACCTTGCCAAGGGAACATGCATTCCTATGATTAAAAAATATGTGATTATTCTTTTATGGATTTGTATAGTGCTGCAGCAATACACTCACTACGTTACAAAGCAAACAGACCCTCTCCTTGTCCTACAGAGACAGATCTGATCAATTCAAGGCAAAAAAACAAAGGAAACTTTAATTGGTAAAGAGGCCATGTTGAGAACCACTGCTGGAAATGTGTGCTTTAAGGAAGGTTTGGAAGGGAGAAGTGAGGCTGCTCGATGGACAGGGGAAGGGAGAGTGTGTGTATCAAACGGCTGGGAAGAGAAAAGCTGTAAAGAACAGTTAAAAGGAAGCATGGGGAGTAAAACAAATAGGAATAAGAGAATAAAATATACTGGACTTGGAAAGTGTTTGCATCAGATTTGGCAAAAGAAAACTGAAGTATGAATATGTGAATGAGGAAAGGAAAATGTGACATGTAAAATACTCTAGTGCAATAAGGAGATTATCCAGTTCTATTCAGTCAGTCAGTGATGATTTACTTAACAGGACCATGTTCAAGCCTTTCCCCATTTCTGCAACAGATGTGGCCTGCTGTCACTAGTGTGGACCTGTTGTGTGACAGGCTGTGCCCCCTGTGCAGAGTCCCTTTCAGACAGGTTTTGCCATGGACACAGAGTTGACGGGTGAGGAGGAATGGGAAGGAGGGGACACCGGCCATCTGACTGCCCCCCCAGCCAGGTAAGGACCAGAACAAACCCTCTCTGCCCCAGGCCCCACCTCTGCTCTACCCCTTCCCACACTTGCTTCACCCTTGCTCTGTCTCCACTCTGCCTCCCCTGAGTGATGCAGCCTAGGGGCCTAGCGGGGTCAGGGGTCCAGCACTCCTGCACTCCCTGGCAGTGGTAGGGGAAGGAGCCAGTTTCACGCTGCTTCCCCAGCCACGTCACCCTACTTCCTTCCAGTGAGTGTGGGGTGATCCCAGACTTCCTCAGAGTGAAACACTGGGAGAGTAGAGTGAACTGGGGACGCATTGCTTTGCTTCTCTCATCACTGCCAGCGCATACAGGGGGAAATGACCCCTGCTGCAGGCATCAGATGCCCAGGCACTCTGGCTGGCTGGCCCCTTACCCCTCAGAGAGCACATGTCCCCTCTTACCCTCCCATGCATTGGCCCTGCATGGACAGGTGCAATCTGTGAGAGGAGGGGTAATTAGGGCAAGGCATAAACAAACTATAAACAGACTGAGCATATCTAGTTCCTGCCCTTTCCTACCTCCATGGATTAAATTGTAGTGTGGCACGGTTACTTGTCTGACCACCTCTTTTTCCATGGACATAGAAAAGGCTATCTGAATTGGACTCCCCCAACAGGAATGAAATTGCAGCTAAGAGGAAGGTTGGTCTTAGAAGTTTTTTCCCTGAATCCCATAAAATGGAGAATGTTTCCTTTCAGTTCTGATTACATTCCATGCCTTTTTCTTTTTAGCCCATCTCCTCTGAAATGTTTAACCACTGCCCCTATTCTAAATAAAATACACCTAGAGAGACAGGGAAATCGACCATGACGGAATTCTGTTTGTTTATAACTGAGCCATTCGTGCCATATTTCTAAATTGTTTGGAAAAAACTTCAAATGTAAGGGGGGATGGCAGAGTATGGCTCTGAATGCCAAAGTACTCTTTATCTGGTATTGGTAAAGCAATGGCTACTTTGCTGTGACATACTTGCTTACATGGCATGACAAAAGCCCTTAACTTTAAAATTTTTTAATCCATCTTACTTAGGCAAAACACAACATATACATAAACTATAAAGCAATGAGGGGTAGGGAGGAGTGTGTGGGGGAGAGAAAAGAAACACTGTATATAAGCAATTACCTGGTCTTCAAAGTCAAATTCAGTATCCAGAATATCTCCAGAATCCATAATCGGACTCGGATCAAGTACATTTGTCCCTAAAATATGAAAGGAAATGAAACTTCAGAAATGGAATAGTAGGTTTCACTTTACATGATGGGACACAGTTATATTTTTTACCTCAATCTGGCCCTTTCATTGTCGGTATACATAATGAATGGCTCTTCTAATGAGTACACTGTCTGAATTACACTGCCTTCCGTGTATTCTGCAAAGTGTAACACGCTGCGCAATGCTCTACATAAATGTTACTGGGATTTTAATTAACTACAAAGTTGGTGAAGAATAAACATAATTTTATACACACAGAGCTCAATTAATGGTTCTTAACAGACTTGAGAAAAACATCTATTTTGTGTATACTAATAAAACAAAAATGGTTACATTTTACATTTGCTTTGTTCTAATCACGTCAGTGATTGCAGGGGAATGGGAAAATAGGTCTTAGTACTGCCAGAGGTGCTGGAGGATAGAGCAGGATAGAGCCATGGCCCCCAGAGACTGCATCCCATAAACACCTATTATGAAACCACCAATTCTGGTCTCCAGTGCTGGCAGATTATATCTGTCTCCTCTTCTTGGGCTGGAGAAGGGAAGGGTTCCTTGTTCTTTCTACTGAAGTAGTAATAACCCCATTCATATCTCAGTACAGCCCACCAGTATTTGGGCACATTGTTACATGTTTATTTGAATTTCTGATGCTATAAAATCAGTATATCTTTTTTAGTTTTTGCCATCATTTCAGTAGACTGATTAAAAACAAAATTACTCCTCTTATTTAATGCTCAGCTGTCACCACTCCACTGATTTAGAGAAAGTTAAACAAAGTCAAATAATGAGAGAGGTCCTAGATTTAGATTGTAGCTACACATTAGCTGTCAAGAAGCCAAGGTATCCCTAAACACTGTTTACCACGTTGGGGGCAGTAAAGAACACTAGAGCAGCGAATAAATATAATTTTTGTTGTGACCTGCTGTAATCAGTCAGGGTTGTGGACAGGGAAGCAGGAAGGATGTTTTGGTGGGTTGTATTTGCATGTCTGCTCTTGCAACAAAATATCCTCAGGAGAACAAGCGGTATTGACAATCACTAATCTTCAATTTAAATAGTTTCTTCACTATTAAAGCTAATCCTTCCTTTACCGTGTACATGGATAGTTGTCTGCACCATGCACAGTCCTTAAATGCTTTTCTGATTTGTAGTTCCCAATCCATTTAAGCATCAGCTATTTTTGTTTGTTTTTAACATTTGCATAGTAATAATCTGTGTAGGTGGTGAGATGAACAATAAGAGAACATGAGGAGCAGAACTGGATAGCATGATGAGTAAAACCATAAAGCTTTGTAAAGCAGATGACTCCAATGCTATTTAAATTGTAATCCATATTATAAATGGCCAAATTCATCCTTGATGTAGCTCTGTTGATTTCATGGGATTTACATCAGGGATGGATTGTCCCACAATCTGTTTGTGTGGGTTTAAACAAAAATGTTCTTGTACTTTCACAATATTATTTTAATTTACAGGTAGTAGAAAGGAATTAGACTTTACCATCTGTACCACCACAGATACACCTGTGCTGCATTTTGTACTCTGGTATAGGTGTTTTGTGAGCTTCTAATGAAAGTTCCTGTTTTATAGATAGGTGCAAAAGGACAGAATTAAGGCTACTATGATAAGCTTAATTAAGTACTTGTATTTTTATGCAACTGAAGTCTCAAACTTACCATTGCATCAATGTAGATAATGTAAGCCTGAATCTTGATTGAGAAAAACCTACACTGAGCTGCCAATTATTTTAAAAGATACTTTTGGACATTATTTGATAAACTATCATTAATATTCCTTATCTATTGGGAGTGGTGATCTCCTCTCTAACTAGGATCATTAACATTAAATATTGGTTGTAGAAAACAAGTAATTTAAAAAAAAATAGATTACAAATTTAAATGTGCAGATCGGGCTGAAAGTTAATGTTCACATTTAATATACTTTAAGCCCTGGCCAGCACCTTCCCATGCTGCTTTGTCCCCAGGCTGAGAGTGTAGTGATGCTCTCTGGGACGTCCATGCCCCTGCAGGAAAGTGCCTGCTATCTTAGCAACATATGGCCTGGCTCGAAGCACATCACCATCATCCGAAATGAGATCTTCAGTGTTGGCTCAGTGATTAGGGCTAGGCTTCACACGCAGTGTCTCCTGGGATGACTTCCTTGTAACCTTTTCGTCACAGCTGGTCCAGCTGTGAGCGGGGCACGTCCTTCACCTTCCACACCATTTTCCCAACTCTGTGGGATCTTCAGGAGGAAGAAAACCTGGGAGGACCAAATGAGGGAACAGATGGCCTGACTGCAGTCCCTCATTTGGAGACTCGAGGAGGAGCATTGGGAGTGGGCTGTGCTTTCTCCCTTTCCTCAGTGCTTCTCCATATGCTTCTCCCTTTCCTCGGTGATGAAGAGCCAGGCCTCGTGCATGGAGTGGGCCATCAACAACCAGCTGGCATTGATGTTGGTGGAGCATCCATTGTGATCCACAAGGGACTTAGTACCACGGAGAAATACCCTTTCCTGTAGTCTGAGGCATGGTGGTTGAGCGCCAAGATGGAGATGTGAGTGTCATCTATGGCCCCCCTACAGTTGGGGAAGCCCATCGTGGCAAAGCCATCAATGATGCTGTCTATGTTACCCAAGTGATGACCTTTCACAGCAGCATGTGGTTGATGACCTTGGCTACTTGCAGGAGCACAGTAACAACTATGGATTTCCCCACACCAAATCTGGTTCCTCATGTAACGGTAGCTGTCCAGTGTGGCAAGCTTCCACGGAGCAATGGCAACGTGCTTCTGCACAGGGACGATGAGTATCAGTTGGTTGTCCTGGCACCTGAGGGCAGGGGCGAGCCACTCTCAGAGCTCCAGGGAGGTGGCCTTCCATATGCAGAAGTTCTGCAACCACTCATTCCATTGCTGCAGGACGATGCAATCCCACTAGTCCGAACTGTTCTCTCTCTAGCGGAAGCGGTGTTCCCCAGTGTCCAGGAGATTGAGGGGCATTTGCAGCAGCAGGAGTGCCAGGATCTGGGTGATAAGAGCCTCCAGTCTGGCCTGGTTGTCATCCTGCTGGAGCAGCATGTGGGCAGTCTGGATGAACTGCGCCATGAGACGCAGCACAAGGCTTGTGAGCCTGGCACTGCTTTGCAGCAGCTCCAGCTCCATGTTGTGAGTCTGTAGTGTCCCCAAGGGCAACCAGAGAACACTGTTGTTTGTTTTGTGTCCTGTGAGGGGGAAGGCAGTGGAGGAGCAGTGTGTGAGATGCAGCCGTAGAGAGGGCCCCTGAAAGTACGTGTCGCAGCTTGCCTGACCAAGCAACCACAGCAAGTGTCTGCCCTCCAAAGTGCTTCTGGGGGCTCTAGGTCTGAGGCAGGCTCCAATCAGTGTGGACGTGCTATTCGGATTCTAATTTCAATGTTTCCCCCAGACTGGGGGGACACTATTTTGTTTTTCTTATTTCAGGCGTTATTTCCATTTTACTTATTTTGAAATTATTTCTTAGTGTAGACATGCCTTAAGCTAGAAAATCCCAAATAGTTATGTATTTTAACATGGTGCATAATATAAAGGCTCATGTTCAAGGAAAAACTGCCTGCCTTCTCCGCAGAAGCACCAACTCTTTTACAAGGTTGAAGGAAGGGTAGGATAAATTAAGAGATTTTCTCTCTCTCGTTTTCACTGAGAACTTAGCGAAAGGAAAACCATCTGTCACTCTCTGAATATTCTACAGAGAGCTGTGCTTTTGCTGAGTGAAATGAAATAAACCTAAAAGAGATGCCTTATGGTATGCTGTAGTAAGAGGTTATTGCAAATAAGGCAAAGTAGTGGGGGTGGGAGGGTTGGATACCATTGTTGCAGTATTGGTAAGAATGGAGAAGGGAGGCAGTAGTTTGCCAATCTAACTGTACATAAGGGGGAGCATGCCTAACTTGCTGGACCCACAGTAAAGCCTACTACTACAAGATGGTAGGGGAAGTGACTAAGTGAGCACGCTTGCTGGCCATCCACTCTAAGGGGACTGGGAGTGAGAGGGGGCCAGCTGATCAACCTGCATAATAATGGAAGTGATAAGGAAGGGGATGGGAAAGGCTCTAACACAGGGGTGGGCAATAATTTTTGATGGGGGGGGCCATGCCAAAGATTTGGAAAGTGGGCGAGGACCACGCTCTTCGATGATATTAATGGAGGAGATGCAGGATCTGGGATGGAGGTTGGGTGTGGAAGGGAGCTTGGTGTAAGGGATTGGGGTATAGAAGGGAGACTGGAGTCTGGGAGGGAGTTTGGGTGAAGGAGGCGGTTCTGACCTATGGCAGGGGACTGGAGTGCAGGGGTTTGGAATGTGACCTAGGATTAGAGGGGATTGTGATCTGGGGCAGGAAATTGGGGTGCCAGATCTGGGAGGGCGTATGGGTGTAAGAGGGGGACAGAGGGCTTGGGTATGTTGAGTGGGGGGGGCAGTGGGTTGGAGCAGGAAAGGGCTGTGGTGCTAGAAGCAGGCTGTGGCTAAGAGACTTACCTGCAGGGGTGGCCCGTGCCTATAGGCAAACTAGGCAGCCGCCTAGGGCGCCAAGTTGCATGGGGCGCCAAATTCCAAACTCTGCCCCTTCCATTTCCCATGCCTTACCTAGAGCACGGCTTCCCTGCGGCCAGGAAGGGCGTAAGTCCTGGGAGAGGCAGCGTGTGGGGGGATTTCCCCTGTGCCACGGTGGGGAGCGGGTCGGCCCTGGAGGAGGAGGAACGAGGGGGGGTTGCCCCGTGGGGGGGGGGGGTTGGCCCCGGGGGGGGGAGGAACACGGCCCCCAGACCCAGAACTCCATCCCCAGCCCCTTGACCCCCAGCCCCCAGCCCCAGAACTCCACCTCCATCCTCAGCCCCCTGGCTCCCAACCCCCTGTGCCCCAGCCACAGAACTCCAGCCCCAGCCCCCCTCTCACAGCACAGAACCAAAACCCTCAGTCGATATCTGCCCTTGGGGTTGGCCATGTGCTTCATTGAATAACTGAGCCAAAGAGAGGGCGTGTGGTTCCTCTTGGCTGCTTGTTATTCCAACAAGCAGCTTCCATTGGCTGGTTTCTGGCCAGAAACCGGCCAATGGGAATGTGCTGGTGGCGGGGCGACTCCTGAAACTCCTCCTGCCCCTCCAGTTTTAAAACAGAAAGAGCCCTGAAGCTGCATTTCTGCACAGGGCTGCAGGGCAAACAGGGGAGTCTGTCTGGGGAACCTGCTGGCTTGGCGGGCAGCACCATAGGCCATATTTTGCTTAAGCCTGTTCCAACACACCAGAAGTCTTTGAAATATGAGAGAGGGAAGTTTACTTAAAACTTTATGTACCAAGTTTCTGATGCTAATCTCGTGGTACCATCATCAGTGTTAATGGGGAAACAAAGAATTTTGAATTCAGGATTAGGCAAATAAATGGATGAGGAAAGAGTTCTCAAATGTTTTATTTAACACATCAGTGCATGTTCATGGCTAGTTTATGTGTAGCAGTGGTCTGGTAATAACCTGAAATTGAAAATAAGGTTTATTTAATTTTATTATCGTTTTTTGCATCTTTCTTCCTAATATTAAAGGTGCAAAGCACTTTAGCACCTGGCGAACACTAGGAGGTACAGTCTTAGCTGCTGTGAATCATTTTGCATTCCATTGTCCCATTCCATCACAGCATTGACATGTTTGCTTAACATAAAGCATGTGACCATTTACATCAGAGCTACCAGCAGGTATCTAAGTAATCCCAGGGACTTCAATGACCTTCTCTTGTGCTTAAAGCTAACCTAATGCTTAATGTTATGCTGGAATGGGGTCAAAGAATGCAAAAACCAAGACGTGATCAGAAAAGGTGCTTTTATAAACTGAAATATCTCTTTCCGTTCTCCAGTGTGTAAGTGGGTCTGGGCACCATGTTTTCCCAAGGGAAAAAATGGACTCGATTTTATTACAGTTGTGTACATTTTTGAAAAAAAATCAGTTTACTTCTTTACTGGTACTCCCCTACCTATATAATCAGCTCCACAAAGAGCAAGGAGTTACTGAAGGAACAACTTCAGCAATTATATTTGCTTTCTTGCTAAATTTTGCATCTTCAAGACTGAAGGCAGCATTTATGCTATCTTGTAAATTGAGAGTTCATTCTCAGTAAAGTGTTGGCTTAAATTTTCATATGTCTTTTGTCATAATGAAGCTGAATTCCAAAAATATTTATGAAAAATTATCAAGATATAAATCATGGGCCTATTCATATAACAGATGTTTAGATTTTTAGAACAGAAATGTACCCCTGTGCTAATGACCTCAGGAATTCCACTTGTGTATCACTTAATGAGCGTTGCAAAAGGCTTTGCATTGTCTTCATCTTTACTGAAAAAGTCTTTACCATCAGCTTTTTATGCATATTACTAACAAGCACTGTTCCCCTCCACCCTAATTAATTATGTTCATTTATGTCATGGAGCTAAATGATGATCTGTCAAAATTTAGCTGCTGTTAATTTGCTATTAAAAGGTAACAGAATCACATCGATGCAAGTTAAGTGACTGGACCATTTATTTTTCAATAACATAGAATTAATATATTCTCACAACTTTTCAATCCATACATTGGCTCAAATATCCTCACACACTACATATTTTTAAGAATTGTATTTGAGCTTTCTACATTTGCATTGTCATAATTTTTTTTTTAATTCTATGAAACCTAGGTTTGTCCACATAGCTGTTAGATTTAATACAATTAAATTGTCCTTTTATGAAATTCTCTGAAGAACAGTCAACTCAGTTAATAGGGCTTACATTTCAGCATTCCAAGCCAGAGAAATACTTAGAAAACCATTGTCCAAGAAAAAATAACTTAAAAACAACTAATCAGCGTTAGAATAACAGTTTCATTTTTGCTCTCAGTAAGATGTTTAATACAAAATATATTGAAATTGGTGGAATTTCATGAGAGGTTGTTGCTCTTGGCAACAGTCTTAATATATCTCAGGAAGCCACGATGGAAAAGAATATCATTATCTACAAATGCACTGCATAGCTTTCTTTCTCCAAATATTTGTTGTATAGGGGGTTGCACATGGATCTTGAAGAGTAGTTCAAGGTTTGGCATATCAAATATGATGATGTGAAACCATGAACGTGTTCAGAAATATGTTTGTGTTTGTTAGTCATTATGAATCAATTTACATCTGTAATTATGCTACAAAATGCAGTGGGGCTAAACATCTTAACATTATTGAAACAAACAAAAAGCTTTTAACTGGCTTCTATTTTATTAATCCTCTCACTCTTTGTGCAAAAGAGAGGTTCCCAACTAACTGTATCCTCTTTGGTCTGGTGTCCTTTGTTTTGGAGAAAAGGCTAATTACTGAAATGACAGCTCTTCACCTGCAGGCCTGATTATCTCACTTTTGAATCCTATCCTGAAGGAGAACAAAGTCTTGTACCAGGTTCCCATTGACAGGAAAATTCACTCTAACACAGAAGGACTGGGCAGGAGGAATCCTCCAACATGTGCCGATAGAGCCCATTGGCAGCTACATCTATGTATTAGGATGAGGAGCAGATGCTACCTGCTGCTCCCCTTGCACAAGGGTTTTTGCCTATGTGGATTTATGCTATCTGTAGAGCCACTGGACCTAATCTGTTCTGTGGGTGACATGCCCACTGTGGTCCCCCACAGAGATTTCATATCCAAGCCATGCTAATTCCCATTATGCGAATTCTCCAAATATTTGACCCATTAAACAGTAAAATAAACAATCTATTTCCCAGACCTGGAGATGAGCTCTGAATGGCATTACTTCCGTCACCATCTCTCTGAGAGCTTTAGCAATTTGGAGGGGGTTAGGCAGGTGGTCTAGAGTTTGTTTCAGTATTTTGTCAATATGAGATGGGTACAAAAAACATTTGTTACATTTGATGTTGAACAGTAACTCACCTGCCATGGTCTCTTTGGGAGAAAACAGCTTACTGTCAACTGCCATGCTTATGTCATAGAAAACCTCCTCCTCGTCCCTATCTGCATCAAACTGTTGGAAAGGGAGAAGGAAGTTAGACACTTCTGGACAGGATGAATTATTTAGATGAATGCTATTATATAAAATGCAATCCATTCCTAAACCACTGAAGTCAATTGGAAGCTTTCAATTTCCTTCCATAGGCTTTGACTCAAACCCTTCATTATGATTCTTTCTTTTGCCAAGTTGACCATCATTGTTCATAGGTTGCAATTAAAAAGAAGTTGAGTCATTTTAAAAGACTGACATTTCCAAGGTAGAACCTCAGGAAACAGTATGGCTGTGTCTACACTGGCACCCTTTTCTGTAAAAGGGATGCTAATGAGACACTTCGGAATTGCAAATTCCATGGGGGATTTAAATATCCCCCGCGGCATTTGCATGAACATGGCTGCCGCTTTTTTCCGGCTCGGGGTTTTGCCGGAGAAAAGCGCCAGTCTAGACGGGATCTTGCGGAAAATAAGCCCTTTTCCGGAAAATCCCTTATTCCTACTTGAAAGGACTGGGCAGGGGGACTTGAAAGTAGGAATAAGGGATCTTCCGGAAAAGGGCTTATTTTCCGCAAGATCCCGTCTAGACTGGCGCTTTTCTCCGGCAAAACCCCGAGCCGGAAAAAAGCGGCAGCCATGGTCAAGCAAACGCCGCAGGGGATATTTAAATCCCCCGTGGAATTTGCAATTCCGAAGTGTCTCATTAGCATCCCTTTTACGGAAAAGGGTGCCAATGTAGACACAGCCTATTAGTAACACACAGCACTATATGTGACATTTTTTCTGCCATCCAAAGCAACTATGTGGAGACTATGAAACTACATATCACATGAATACTTCTTATCACCTGATTTTTACAGGGAAGAAGTAACACCACTTAATTTGTCAAAATTGTTTAGAAACTTCTGAACTGTCTTAGAACTGCACACAAATTAATCATTTTAATGTATCGGAATTTCAGTGAGTCACTGGAAAAAGGATATACTTTAGAGAATTTACTTGTAATAGATGGAGGAAGAAAAGGTTTCCTCTATGTTTTGCTGTTTGGTATGTGTACTATCTTGGTTAATATAAGTTTTTAAAATCACAGGAGGTAAAAATCCCCTTATAATTGTACAGTAGCTTCTTGAGTTTGTGACTTTCTTCCTCCTCTCATTTATAAAATCCTTTGTCCAAAGTTTAACTCCTGTTTTCCTACACCCTAATCTCTCTCCTATACTATGACCTGTGTCCTGATCCATCATTTTAAACTATTTTTCCTCGTATCTGATATTTATCACTGACACACTCAACTCAATCATTTTTAAATGTATTGTTCCTACTTAATAAACTAGTAATGCCTGCTTGAAGAGGTTTCTTTTACTGATTTGAATGTTGCCAGCTGATTGCCTTCAGTGTTCTTCATTTTAACTGAATGTAGCAATAAAGGGAAAACTTACATCTGCGTCCATTAAACTATTCTTTCTCCTTAACTGAAGCCTGCCAGGTTTCCAAGAGAAAAGTTTAATCCAGCAGCTCACCACCCAGCAACAAGAGCAGCAAAAACAACTGATCCGGGAGGTAGCCGAGCAAATGAAGGCGCAACAGGAAGAGTGGATGAGACGATATCCACCGGCAATGGTGACCCCCCTGAGTCCAGCGTGCCCCGAAGAGGAGGGGCCAGCAGGAGAGGGGGAGGTGGTACGCCTGCCCATACGGCTAACTAAGATGGGGCCGGCTGACGATCCTGAGGCATACCTCGCCACCTTTGAGAGGGTGGCGACGGTAGCCCGGTGGCCAGAATCCCACTGGGGGTATGTCTACACTACCCCGCTAGTTCGAACTAGCGGGGTAGGGTAGACATACCCTCAGTGTCGACATACGGTTAAATCAATCTCCCAGCCCAATCCATTGCACACCAAACTACGTTTCTGTTTAAACCAAACAAGCTCTCCTCCTTCTGAGTGTTTATATATACCATTAGCGCCTTTCTTGACTATAATGCTTGGAACAATTTTAATCATAAATGGGCTTCCTAGAACAATTTTCCACATTTGTGGTCATTTTTCATCTTCAGACCAATGTGCTTTGTGATGGAGAATGAGCCTAAGGGGCAAACAACAGTACACTCATAAACGTGAGTTCATGGGCTTTGATGAACTTGGCCTCTCTAATCTGAAACTATGCTGAAAAGTGTGCTCCAGCGCTATAGTCAATGTCTGTCTTTTTGGTTAGGGATCCATTGGGGGGAGGAAGGGGAGATTTCTTAGAGAAGGTATGAAACAAATGATGTCCTAGAGCAGGGGTTCCTAACCTTTTTCGGTCCCCATACCCTCTTGGCTATTAGTAAACCTTCCTATACCCCTATTCAATATGAAATTAAATAAATTTTAGACTAGAATCCACAACTTTTTTCACTAACACTACTACTTTTGGAATATTTCAATTAGGATAATCTAGTTATTTACCAAATATTCCCTGTACCCCCTTGACAAGCTTCTCGTACCCCCTTGGGGTACGCATACCCCAGGTTGGGAAGCCCTCTCCTAGAGCAATGCAAACAGCAATAGGATATCTCATTTAAAAGAATCAATCTTATTTCTACACCTTGTGCTATTTCCATAATTTATTATGCATTGTATGCTGCTCCAAGGGTGCAAACCCTACTACAGCCCAGATGAGCTGGGTAGCAGAAAACTAGCATTGGTGAGAAGTTCAGCTGTTCTTCCAATACTTATCATGGATATTGGCTAAGAATGCAAAATGATATCCAAGGATTTGTCCAGGAACCTGCTAAAACCCTTAATAGTCCCTACTTCCACAACATCCATACCACCCCACTTATTGGTCCTCATGGACCTTCATGACAACTTGTACAGAACTCTCACTAATTTCATTTCAGCACCTAACAGAGATGTCAGAAGCAAAAAGGAACCCAAAGAAGGTTTGCTGATGGCCTTTCATCATAATAGATATCAACATGTAGAGGCAGAATTTCTGCCTTGCAAACCTAGAAAAAGAGTTGAAAATGGGGGGAAAAATATGAAATTCTGGAGAAAATCTCATTTGTTAGATTTACTCTGAGCAGAGAGAAACAGGGTGCCCTGGAAGGAAGCAGCTAATGTTTGAAGAACCAGGTGTCAATAAATCAAACCCTGCCTAGCCATCTAGTTAAGAGTTCCCCCCTCCCACAAGAATCTACAGCATGTCTAGGATTCTCTTCACAGAACACTAGAACTGGAAGGAACCTTGAGAGGTCATAGAGTCCAGTCCCCTGCCCTCATGGAAGAACCCAGTACTGTCTAGACCATCCCTGATAGATGTTTATCTAACCTGCTCTTAAATATCTCCGGAGACAGAAATTCCATAACCTCCCTGGGCAACTTATTCCAGTGTTTAACCAACATGACAGTTAGGAAGTTTTTCCTAATGTCTAACCTAAACCTTTCTTGCTGCAGATTAAGCCCATTGCTTCTTAGAGGCTAAGGAAAACAATTTTTCTCTCTCCTCCTTGTGACACCCTTTTAGATTCCTGAAAATTGTTGTGTCCCCTCTGTCTTCTGCTTTCCAAACTAAACAAGGCCAATTCTTTCAGTGTTCCTTCATAGGTCATGTTCTCTAGAACTTAAATCATTCTTGTTGCTCTTCTCTGGACCTTCTCCAATTTCTCCACATCTTTATTGAAATGTGGTGCCCAGAACTGGACACAATACTCCAATTGAGGCCTAATCAGCACAGAGCTGAAAATCTAAGTTGTACAGTGAAATGCTCTTATTGCAAACAGAGGAAAATCAATTATTTGAACTTTTGCACTTAATTCAGTTTCTCCCTTATGTTACGGGACTTGTAATACCCAGAACTGTGGAAAGGAAGGTAGATTCTATGGGGGAAATATTTTTAAAAGAAAGAGAGATGTTAAGTTTGTGCTTAAGTGAATTATTACACATTTTATAACTGAAATTCTTTGATAACTGCCAGATACTTGAATAGGACATAAGGGTGCTCAACTGACCCACTTCAGTTTTAAACAATAGCAAACCCCTTATAATTAAATATTTTTGACATGTCATCTGTGAATTTATTGGATGTTTCTACATATTGAAAATAGAATTGCTAATCACTACAAGAAAAAAGGTCTCTACTATATGCCCAATCCAGTTCTCGCCTTATGAAAGAGAATTGCAGAGCCCAAACAAGGTCTCTAAAAGGGTTGATTAATTGCATGTGCCGCTAAATTCTCATCCAGCCTTCTTTGATGGATACAAAATATTTATAGTCAAAGCACATACTTTTCTTTCACACATATTTAATTCATAAACAATAAACTTGGCCAAATGTGGAGAACTGAAGTGAAGTTTGACTCTGAATAATTTTTTAATAAAAATGACACTTTGTTACTCAAGAGATCAGTGCTCAGAACCACATCTGCTTGATTTTTGGCACTGACCTTGCAATAAGCAATATGTGATGGCACCTGCTTATCTGCACAGTGATCCACTGACTTTTGCTGGGGTTCCACAAGGATGCATTTGTGTGGGCACTTGGAACTTACTTCAGAATAAAAATTTATGTGAGTAAATTGTAATAGCTTTTTGCTTCTTTTGTCCTTGGGGAAACAATACAATTGACAGAGAGACGGCTGCTGTTCCTTTATCAACAGAACCACATGCTAAATTGTAACCAGCCACATTTGTGCAATTTCCATTGAATTAAGTTCCAGAGACGTGGCTGAGGATAAAATATGATTTATGCAGCCCTTATGATGTATAATGATGCATGAAAAGGAACGTACCTAGCTTGACGTGCCCAAGTAATTGTCTATCCTACAGACTCTACAGCAGCACAACTATGGTGCTGTAGCTAGTACAATAGCCTAGTTGTTTCCTGTAGGGACAGAAGAGGGTTTTCTGGTTGCTATAGGCAATCCACTTCCCCAGGTGCCATATTTCTTTTCCATCGGCCTAGCCAACTCTACTTAGACTATTCGTTTGGCACACCGATGGTGCTCAGGGATGTAACTATGTAGAGAGCCCTGCATGGATA